GATTTGATTTTAAGAAAGAATAATGTTTGCAAGCTACAGGTTATAACCAGAGTGTCGGAGTGCAATTATTTTTCCTGAAAGACAAGTGATAGCTCAATTTGCCAGGAAAGCCACACCAGGCTTCGTAGCAAATAAACCACAATTAGGTTACCCACTGCTACTGAAAAAAAAAAACCCTAGCTTGACTGGATTTTAGGAGGTGGACAGCTTCTCTCTTGTGCTACACAAAATGAATACTCCATTTTAAAAATGTAGGTTTTTAGTCCTTCTGGTAGATTCCTTTTGAAAAGCTAAGAGATCTTAAGACAACATGGGCTTAACCCTGAATCTAACAAAAGGTCATTTTGTACTACCTGAACTCAACACAGGCAAGGTTCCATCCCATCTCTTACAATCTGCTATGAAAAAAAATAAACCATGTAATTAGGGAGGAAAGGAGAAAGGTTGCTCTGGTTCTCAGTCTTCATCTTTCCACACTCAGCAGGATAGGATCAGCCACTGCTGAGCTGAGAATCATATTAGTCTCATCTCTTATGGTGCTAGTAGAATCACAGAACAACTTCTCCACTGAGGTTAATTTATGCCTTTGCTCCAGCTGTACCAGAGGAAATACCTTCATTGCCAGTGGATGGAGACAGTGTTTCTGATCAAGCAGTCTTCTGTTGGTGCCAGGTCAGGTAGCTTCTTGTTCATTAGATTAGTCAATAATATCTCCTCCATCTTCTCCCACTACTCCATCACTACCTGATTCAAGAAACAGGGTTTATCATCTGTTGACTAAATGTAATTGTGTTCGGATTAGTGGCAATCCAAAATACCTTGTATGGCCTACTGCAGGACTTTCCGACACAGGATGTTATGATCTGCTGCCTTCTTATCTAGAAGATGATGCTCAGGTTGTCCATTTAGACATGAGATCTGATTAGGATAGCATAACTGATTGCTCTCATCTCTGGAATATTCAAGAGTAGCTGTTCTTGGAGACAGCAAACTCTCTAAGTGAAAGTTCTGCTGTGTGGTATTCCATTCATCCAAGATTTGACGCAAGTTTAGTATAGTGTTTAGACACTATGGTGATAAGATACTTTATAAATACCTACAGATAAATCCAAGTGATTCCTTTCATACTGGTGTGCCTGATCGGCCAGCCATCAAGATAGGAAACCATGTGTACTCCCAGCCCATGCAGACAGGCTCCCATTACTGCTAAGAATTTCACAAGTATACACAATGCTATTGTAGAGCTACTGAGGTATAGTCCTTTAGACAGTCTGAACTTTTGGAGTCTCCAGATGCAGAATCTCTAACATACTGGAAGTCAGCCAGCGTTCAAAGAGTGTCTCTCACCTTAGAAACATATGGAAGGGCACGCACAGGAAGGTACTGCCAACCAAGAGGAACAGATGCTCCAAGAAGTACCCCACATTTAGAGCATCAAACTGTCACCAGTTATTGCTATAGATATACAGACATATGCTAGGCAAGGTATAGGTATGGAGTAAGGCACTAACGCAAAAACCAATAGTTTAGCTAAACTAACTGAGGCCTAAGGTCTAAAGATTTGACATACTAAGCTAACCAGTAAGTGACCCTATATCATAAGTTGTCACAAGATAGAGTGCTGCATTAAGTAACTGATCCTAAACTGCTGACAGGTAACCACAACATACCTGTTTGGAACAGCTTTTAATATTTTAAAATCAGAAGCATCAGCAGATAATGCCATGGTAACGAAACATATATGCTAATAAGCTTAAGGTAAATGGCCTAGTAACCTATTGGAGAAGAGTATCCAAACATTAGTAGGGTGAGGATGTATAGGTAAGGAAAAGAGGTTGAAATCCCTATTGCATATGCCTGAGGAATAGGGAGTGTTGTCATAACCTATTATAAAGTTAGTACTCTACCTGTGCACCCCAGATAGATTTCCAGGAACCTACAAGTCCAAGGACAACTTGTGAATCATCTCACCTACTATTGGGCTCCCCACAAAGAATGGTGAGAGTACATAAATGCTGAATTCTGTATTATCTATTTTGCTGGGTTGAAGTGTTTGTGATATTGCTCATTGTGCTAATAAAATTATTACAAAAATCAGAAATGGTCTTCCCTTCCCTAAGTGTGAGTCTCTCTGATACACCGTGGCCCTCAATCTAATTTTGTAGATGATCTAGAGGCAGCTGACCAGCGCAATAACACATCATGTTAAATTGTAAATTCTAAATAATACCTAACCAATAGATCAGGCAACAAAAGTAAACTGGAAACTATATGATGTTCCACACACCCAATGACATCCACGCTGCATCCAGGCCTTACATGACAAAACACAAAATCTCCTCCACACCAGAGGCACTTGAAGGTATGGATCTGCTGCTGAGTTGCACCAATTTCAAAGACACTGAATTTTCATTTCTTTTTGCACATGGTGCCTCCTCCAAAGTATGTCACCAACATACTGTTACCCAGGGTTTTCAGAACCCAAAGCAGTAGAAACTTCACTGTGTCACTCCAGGTGGTGTCAGGAATAAATCAATGGGAACACAGCGCTTCCAGATGATGAAAAATTGATACAAGTGTGCTCTGATCTAAAACTACTATTTATTAGATTTAAGCACAAGAAATAAGTTTAGAACATCCCAAGCAATTACACAGAATCTGAGATGGTACTGAGTAGTTAGCAGCAGGTCCGCAATGGTTGGTCGCTTCCCCACCAGGGAGTACGGTGTCAGGAAAGTCTCTCAGGATAGCTTCAGAGAGCTCACTCTAAAGTACACTCTATTATCTTGTCTTCTGATAACTCATTTTTACAAATCACATACCTCATAGTGACCCGTACTGGTTCATCAGTTCTCCTAACTTTAAGATTGTTAGGAATGTTTTGTTAAGTAGTTTGTTAGTCATAATAAGCTTCTATATCAAAGGCGCCTGAACTCAAGGACCCCATCCACTTATTCCATTTCAGTCTCAACATGTTCAATCTCCTCCCATTCTGATTAGCCAAAACTGCAACCCTGCAGATACTTTTGACCTTGCCTCTAGAAGCCCTGCTTGTTCAAATTAATTCTTAACTATGTAGTGTTCCATATTTCATTAATTCATGGTGGCTGAATGCACACAATAAGGTTCCACTTAGCTTGATCAAATTCTGGGGTAACAAAACCATTCCATTCTGGAGCAACAGTACAACCTCCCCAACCCGAGGCACCACCAGTGTCTCTCTTGACATTTAAGATGTTCACTCTGCTCCAGGTAATGGTATTCTGCTGTGGCTTTAAGTGGGCACTGGAATTTGTGCTTGTACCCCAGAGTCCAGAAGAGAGAGAACTACTGAGCTATACAGACCTGCTTGAATGACTCCTTTCAAACTTCATAATCAAACATTAAACATAACATCCACCAGAAGCCAACTTTTGTCAGAGTATTTCATCAACTTCGACAAGCAAAGAGCTTATCTCCACTATGTGGTGAGTCACTCACATTGTAAAGTTTGTCTTCTACATGCACCACAGAGCACTAACACTGTCTATGCACTTTATATACACAATTTTAGTAGCACCCCTGTCATAACAGGATCAATTAAAAATAAAAGACATGTAGGTGTATCAAACTTCAGTGCTGAGGACTGAAAGTGGGAGCAAACTCTGCTTCAGCTTCACTTAAGAACAAAATCAAATACATAACAATGCAAGGAAGACTGTCAGTGATGACAAATAAATTAAGTAAGGTCCCATAGCTCACACTTGGAAAAAAAAATCCAAGAGTAAGAATGCTGTGTGGGTAGTATCTTTAAAGAAGGCTCTTTATCTAGTAAGATCTGATGTAAGAGTTCAGTGTTTTCCTGCAACAGCTCAGGTACTCACTAACACAACACAATCTGTACCAAAGAAAACATCACCTGAATTAACATCTTAGCATGCAAGTAAAGGGGAGGAACCGATTTTTCAAATATTTTGTCTTATAATTATTTGTAAACTTAAAGTTCATGCATATGTTTATGGAAAGCCATTATAGCTTAAAGATAATTTAATCTGGCAAAACAACAACGTTTAGATAAATAACCCTCTTATTATCTAGCTATTACTATCTATGGCCTTTTACTTATAACTGTTAATATTGTACCTTTATTTGCAGATAAGGTAACCATGGCTAATTTGCCTTCACTCAGTTGTCATTTGAAATTGGAGATTTATTTATTTTGTAATGGTTCCTACTTTTTGAATTGCAATGCAAATTTCCTCATATTTGCCTCTTACCCAAACCTAACAGCAAGCAAAAGCATGGGTCTGCATATTGCCCACTCTTTCTAAGGACTTCCTTAACAGCCTACATGAAGAAACCCAAGTTACCAGGGACATCTGAATTGCCTTGTGTTTTACTACTAAGAAACCAAAAGTTGCTTTAAAGCTATATTGCCACACCTGAATATAAAACTGGTTTAAAAATCAATTCAATTGCTACCTAATTTGTTTTGACAATGTATTTTTGATAATGAGCTAACTCCAAATTATATTCAATTTTAAAACAGAAGTGGCTAAATCAAAAATATAATTAGGATGAGTTATTGGGAAACAGGCATATCACCAGTAATAAATAACTTAGCTCACATATAACGATTTTCATCCATAGATCTAAGAGTGCTTTCCAAAGGAAGGTATCTGTCCCCATTTTACAGATGGGGAAACTGAGACATGGTGAGCTGGTGTGACTTGACCAAAGTCACACAGCACATTAATGTCAGAGCCAGGAATAGAATCCGGGTTTCCTGATTCCCAGATTCCCAGTCCAGTGTCCTACCCACAAATAATCATGCTGCCTTCCTATTAATATACACATATTAAAATGTTTTACTTTACATGGGAATATCACAATTTAAATATTTTCATTCACATCTAGTGCAAATGATCTCTCAGATGAGTTATAGTACACATCCCTCAAAACCTAAGAGAGGGTTAGGTTAGATTATACGTTAAACAGCAGTGTAAGATTACAATACTAACAGGGATAAGGAACTTCTTGATTTCTTCCAAAGCATGCCCCATTCTGGCATATGCCTCTGCTGGTGGGGCAAATACTTCAATGAGAACATGCAGGTCATCATTTAGGTGGAAGTATTTTGCTTCCCCACTTTTTCTCAACTCTTCTTCCTGGGAAGGACAGAAAATTTCACTGTTAAAATGTAATCACAAAAAGAGAAGAAAAAAAATGTAAAATGAATGTGTGTTTGAGATGTTTGCCATATACATATAGTTCATGTACTTTTTGGATCAAATACTAAATGGAAACATAACTGGAAATTATAAATTAATATTCTCTACTGTACTCCAAGCCAATGAAAAACTTTACAATATTGCTATTCTGCCTATCAAATAATGTTTTATTAAGTATATATTACTCAAGAGAAAATTAGTAGATAAGATCTCTACCCTGAGACAATGACTGGTTCCTCTAACAGACAGAATTGTTTCCATTGTTTTGCCTTGATTAAAATAAACTCTCAGTATTTGTGAGCAGCGTGAAAAATATCTTTGTTCTATTTACTGTTTCAACATTGGGGGTTTTACTCCATTCATTCCTCTTGCACCAACCTACTTCTAGGCTAGCTGGAGAGAGTGCATAATCTTTATTAAGTGACAGGTTTCAGAGCAGCAGCCGTGTTAGTCTGTATTCACAAAAAGAAAAAAGGCAGTACTTGTGGCACCTTAGAGACTAACAAATTTATTTGAGCATAAGCTTTCGTGAGCTACAACTCACTTCATCGGATGCATTCAGTGGAAAACACAGAGGGGAGATTTATATACATAGAGAACATGCTACCATACACACTGTAAGGCGAGTGATCACTTAAGGTGAGCTATTACCAGCAGGAGAGCAGGGAGGGAGGGAACCTTTTGTAGTGACAGGTGGGCCATTTCCAGCAGTTGACAAGAACGTCTGAGGAACAGTGGTGGGTGGGGGGGTTGATTATCACTACAAAATGTCCCCCCCCACTCTACTGTTGGTAATGGCTCACCTTAAGTGATCACTCTCCTTACCGTGTGTATGGTAACACCCATTGTTTCATGTGCTCTATGTACATAAATCTCCCCACTGTATTTTCCACTGAATGCATCTGATGAAGTGAGCTGTAGCTCACGAAAGCTTATGCTCAAATAAATTTGTTAGTCTCTAAGGTGCCACAAGTACTCCTTTTTATTAAGTGAATGAGCACTCAGTTCAATCTGTGTGTGCGCTCAGATTTCTGGAAACAGAAATTTCTGGAAATGCTTAGAGGCTTAAAGGAGGTCATCAATTTAAAAATCATACTTATGCCTGAAATGTGTTTTGATGACTTTTTAATAAGCATTGGAAAAACAACTGTGTTTTAAAATCCCAACACAAAAAGCACTGCTAACAGCCTAAGCATGGTTCCGTTGTGCTATTAGACAAGCAGTAGAAGAGTATGCTAACCTAAGTACTAATATAATTTGATTTGAATTTTTTTCTGTCAATTATCCGAGGCTCTAAAAAGTATGCTATTCCTGACATTTATTCTATTTAAGTAAGAAACTAATAGTGCTCTAACATCTCTTTTAATGGGTCCAAAAATAGTAGTATTAATTACAGATTAAAGTTTTCTTATTTGTTCCTTCTCTGTCATAATTATGAGTTAAAGTTATGACAATCAGTTCTAGCTTATTGTAGGTAATCTTTGTTGTCGTCAAATGTACACAATATATGAATATTGCAAAATTGGTTGGAAAAGCAAAGTAATCTGATTAGTTGATAGAGCGTTCAGAGCAGGAAAATTAACACATCGTAATTAGTTGGCTGAATCTTGTCAGCCTTAACCATCATCTTGTCAATACAAATGGTGAAAGGACCACAAAAATAGAAAGTAAAAACCTCCCTCAATGACTATAATGTTGTAGCTAGGAAGGTTTTTGTTTTGTTTTTTCAAAAGCTCCTCTTCAGCTCATTTAACAAATCAGACTTCTCAAAGTGCTAAAGAAAATTTCTGCTTAAGAGTAATTTAGCATGGTCCAAAGAGTACAGGTGAGAGCACCATGAATTAAATTAAAAACTGAAAAACTTAAGCTGGATATCACAAACTTAACGGAGAATGATCAAACTGTATAATAATCTCCCTTGGGAAACAGCACAAGCTCTTGAATAATTTAAGAGAACATACCACTGGAAAACATGATAGTGAATAATCCTGCATGACACTATATGACTTAGAAGAAGAAAGATGGAAAATATCTAGGATTCTTTGAGTGGTAGCAGGTTCAGAGTACAAAACAAAAGGGATTTAATCAGCCTAATTTTAACATAGTTATGTAGATTTCAACAATTTGTTTAAAATCACAATAAGCAAAGTTTGCTCATATAGAGAGCCCATATGCTAGATTTCATCCCTAGGAAATTTGTTGGCGAAAGGATTTAAAAACCTAATAAGTGGAACAGTAGTGTGCACAGCGCTTGGATGTATTGGATCAAGGGTGGGCAGACTTTTTGGGTCGAGGGCCACATCGGGGAATAGAAATTGTATGGTGGGCCATGAATGCTCACAAAATTGGGGTTGGAGTGTGGGAGGGGGTGCGGGCTCTGGGGTGGGGCTGAGGATGAGGAGTTTGGAGAGTAGGAGGGTGCTCTGGACTGGGACTGAGGGCGATCAGGGCAGGGGTGTGGGAAGGCGTGGGGCTGGGCATGAGAAGTTTGGGGTGCAGTTTGGTGGTGTAGTTGACATCACCATCTACCTACACACTTCTGATGCCCATCATCATGGTATCTGTAATTATTTTCTTGGGAGGCACTTCATTACAATATGCCAGTGGTCTAAATTTTCCTCCCTGCATTCTTTGAGACAGTTTGGTTTTAAATAACTTCATCCTTTTCTCTCCTACTATTACATTTGTTTAACTTGAAATAAATATTTCAAAATGCCTTTGAATGGCTATTCATGTTACAAGTTTTACGTCTGTCTGCCATTAAATGATTTCCTCAGACATTTAACATTCTGGAAAGTTCATGACTTACATCTCAATATTGAGATGTGTTTCGCAGTGGGCAGACCCACAAGCCCATGCTGAGCCCCACTGACTTCACTATCTTCACATGTTTAGGGGTTTGCTTGCGTAGAGTTCACTGCAAAATCGGAGGACTCATATGGAAAAACAGACCACATCTGAATCTGGCCTACACATGCTTTGTTTTATATTCATTTTCTAGTTCTTCTTGGCTTTTTCCACTTTCGCAAAAACTGTGCTGGGAAGACTAAAGGAAGCCACATATCATGGATGTCCTATGCACTAAAATGTTTCAGCTACTTGATTTACCTTGGATTTGTCCCTCATGGAACCTTTTCCCAATATCGACATTTTTGTCAATGTTTCTTCCTGTAAACGTTTCAGTGAATTGCCACGTGGACCCAAAAGTTTTCCCACAAAGTTGAACTGCAAGGAAACAACAAAAACGCAATAAAAATATTGTAACACTGAGGAACTGTCATGTAGAATTGCAACAAGGTATGAAAGATGTTGCTTAATGTAGCTGCAAACAAAAAAAAAATTGATTAGGTCACAACTTTTATAGCCATTAAACAAACATATGTGGAATAGATACCACCACTTCAGTGACTTCTCCCATTGTACAGAAACCTACAAACATCAATACACAAAAAACTTTCAAATCCTATGAAGAGAACTCAATTCACGTTCAACTATATTGTTTTAGATTTAGGACAGACAGAAAAAGATGCCAACCCTTAAGCCCGAAGTACCTCTGGGCACTGTCTAAAAGCCCAGTTCAATATAAAAATAAATTCAGAAGCTAACTCAACCGTATAAAGAAGCAACCAATCAAGTCTTTTTATTTCTTAAAAGAAAAGGTAGCTCATGCTCCTTAAAAATTATCTGTGAAGGAATATGCCCCCTGAACCTCACCCCTCAAAAACCCTCCGTAAGAAGATAAGCACTTATGATTAAGGCTGCCAGTTTGTCATGGAGGTCACAGATTCTGTGACTTTCCACGACTTCTGTAGTGGCCAGTGCGCCTGGCTCAGGGGCAGCTCGGGCAGCCCCTGCGCCAATTGCACGGGCCGCTGGGGTAGCCTCAGGCTCCCACACACTCCCCTCCCCAGCAGCAGAGTTTGGATGTGGGAGGGGGAAGGGGATTGGGGCACGGGACGGGATGAGGTGGGCTCCGGGCGGCGCTTGCCTGGGGGGGCTCCCCGGAAGCGGCGACAACCCCTGATTCAGATGCTAGGCGGAGGCACGGCTACGCAGCTTTGTGGGTTGGCTCCGGCTTGCGGGCAGCCCCCTGCAAGTTTTAGTCACTGGTATTTTTAGTAGAAGTCATGGACAGGTTAAAACTGGTGAATTTTTGTTTCCTGCCCATGATCTGGGGTGACTTACTACAAATACATATGACTAAAATGTAGCCTTACTTATGATCGACAGATTTACGCTATAATCAGACCAAGGTCAGAAACCATTTCCAAAGATCAAGGAGCTGTTATGGAGGACACCCTATCGGCAGATCCTACTTGTTGACACCAAGGAGCTCAAGCACCTAGGTTGATCTCAACTGTGATTTGTCAGAAAAAGAAAGGAAATTCAATAGCATATTGATAAAAAATTCCTATATTTTCTATATGCCTGAGTGTCTGCCTGGAGAGGTAATACTGAAAGGTAATTTACTGTAGGGGTTATTTTATCAGACACTGACCATGATCCTTTTTTGATCCTGTGATTAACAAGAATTAGAACATCAGTTTTAACAGAAAGATTAGAACCTGCTATTGGAGTAGTCAATGAACATTTAAGGCTAATGTAAAAGGCTAATGTAAAAGGCTAATAAAAGGCTAATGTAGTGCCAATCTTTAAAAAAGGGAAGAAGGAGGATCCTGGGAACTACAGGCCAGTCAGCCTCACTTCAGTCCCTGGAAAAATCACGGAGCAGGTCCTCAAAGAATCAATCCTGAAGCACTTGCATGAGAGGAAAGTGATCAGGAACAGCCAGCATGGATTCACCAAGGGAAGGTCATGCCTGACTAATCTAATCGCCTTCTATGATGAGATTACTGGTTCTGTGGATGAAGGGAAAGCAGTGGATGTATTGTTTCTTGAATTTAGCAAAGCTTTTGACACGGTCTCCCACAGTATTCTTGTCAGCAAGTTAAGGAAGTATGGGCTGGATGAATGCACTATAAGGTGGGTAGAAAGCTGGCTAGATTGTCGGGCTCAACGGGTAGTGATCAATGGCTCCATGTCTAGTTGGCAGCCGGTATCAAGTGGAGTGCCCCAAGGGTCGGTCCTGGGGCCGGTTTTGTTCAATATCTTCATAAATGATCTGGAGGATGGTGTGGATTGCACTCTCAGCAAATTTGCGGATGATACTAAACTGGGAGGAGTGGTAGATACGCTGGAGGGGAGGGATAGGATACAGAAGGACCTAGACAAATTGGAGGATTGGGCCAAAAGAAATCTGATGAGGTTCAATAAGGATAAGTGCAGGGTCCTGCACTTAGGACGGAAGAACCCAATGCACAGCTACAGACTAGGGACCGAATGGCTAGGCAGCAGTTCTGCGGAAAAGGACCTAGGGGTGACAGTGGACGAGAAGCTGGATATGAGTCAGCAGTGTGCCCTTGTTGCCAAGGCGGCCAATGGCATTTTGGGATGTATAAGTAGGGGCATAGCGAGCAGATCGAGGGACGTGATCGTTCCCCTCTATTCGACATTGGTGAGGCCTCATCTGGAGTACTGTGTCCAGTTTTGGGCCCCACACTTCAAGAAGGATGTGGATAAATTGGAGAGAGTCCAGAGAAGGGCAACAAAAATGATTAGGGGTCTGGAACACATGAGTTATGAGGAGAGGCTGAGGGAGCTGGGATTGTTTAGCCTGCAGAAGAGAAGAATGAGGGGGGATTTGATAGCTGCTTTCAACTACCTGAAAGGGGGTTCCAAAGAGGATGGCTCTAGACTGTTCTCAATGGTATCAGATGACAGAACGAGGAGTAATGGTCTCAAGCTGCAGTGGGGGAGGTTTAGATTGGATATTAGGAAAAATTTTTTCACTAAGAGGGTGGTGAAACACTGGAATGCGTTACCTAGGGAGGTGGTAGAATCTCCTTCCTTAGAGGTTTTTAAGGTCAGGCTTGACAAAGCCCTGGCTGGGATGATTTAACTGGGAATTGGTCCTGCTTTGAGCAGGGGGGTGGACTAGATGACCTTCTGGGGTCCCTTCCAACCCTGATATTCTATGATTCTAACTCTATAACCTGAGGTGCTTTTAATACTGCTTTGCTACCAGAACCGCTACTTCTGACCTGCTCACATAGCCTTCAGCATGCAAATTCACTTCCAGATAAATACATGAGCACTCTGACCACTTGCTCATGAATTAAACTGCAGAGCAACATCAGCAAGTTCCCTAGTCCAGACTTTCCCACCCAGAAATGTGGGTCTTGTACTACCCAGCACACTACTGAACAATGCAAGCTCATAGGACCGTCATTTCATTGAAGTGATCTATGCACCAACCTTGTTATTCAAAGCAATAAGATAAGTGTCCTAACTACACAAAGATAGATTTTAAGTGATTACCAGTAATGATGCATAAAAAAGGCAGGATTAGTTACAAAACAAAATTTAAAAAAAAAAAAAAAGGGTAATATACAAGCTAATCTAATTTAACAAGATAATGGCAATTAAAAGCAAAAGGTTTTCCTCACCGTGTTCTGCTGTACATTTTACAGCTTGGGTCCCCTTTCAGCCTGGGACCACCCCCCTCCTTTAGTGGTGTCCTTCAAGTATTCACTGATGTCATAAACAGAGAGATGGGGGAGGAGAGGTGAGTTGGAGGTTACTGTCTCTGTTATATCCCTCTCCCTTCTTCAAGGATTACCCCCAGCTGGGGTGCAGATGACAAGCAGTCTCCTGAGGACGTGAGAATGGCCATTTAAGCTTCTGTTTTTTAACACCTGGCTGGGGCCAGTGTGTGTGTGTGTCTCTGAAAAACTGGTTTGTAGGGGCTACTGAAATGTTATAATTCTGGGTAACAATATACAGTAGAATCTCATAACCTGACATTAGTATTACTACATATTTCAATAGGATAATAATGTTCAGCAGATTGTGACTTTTCAAATGGTATCTCAAGGCATACTTTGTGCAACACCTGTCAGAGTCTTGAAAAAGTGGTGAATATAATGGTATAGACTGTCACAGTCACTCTTTCAGATAAAAATCTCATCCAGTTAGAAACGAGTCCCTGACAATCAAAGAAAGGGAACATTTATCTATGGCAGTGATGATAGGATACATTTTGACTGGTGAACACCAACAAATCTTCTGGCCTTGTAAAATGGAGGCCTGGGAAGAAGCATGGAGTAGAAAAAAGAAATGGTGGGCAAGACTCCCCTTAGTGCCTGCCAGTTCTTCCACATCTGGGCTGCTATCCCTCTCATCACTCCAGAGCCATCTGATGGGGGAAGGAGGTAGAAAGGCATGTGGCAACCTGCAACAGAAGCTGGGAGCAAAAACCAGGATGGCAGGGCCTGGTGACCTACAGTGGCAACTGAGGAGGACAGTCTGATGCTTTCCCAGACTATCAGGTGTGACACTGGAATACACTGGAAATTAGAGCTATTAAGCACCCCACTATTACACACACACACACACACACAGTGCATGAGGGATATACAGCTATAGCTTGCCTAAGGCATCTGTATACTTCATAACTGCAGTTTACATTTCTCAAAGTATTCAGCGCACTCTGCCTTGAAAGTCTAAGTCTATCCCGTGTGTGATTGGCTTTTGTTTAAAATATATTATTCGAGTCTCTAGTTCTGATTAGGAGCATTGGCATTTCTCCCCTAAGTTGGGAGACTCCCTGAGGGGAGCACAGGATATGAACGCTTAGAGGAGACAGCACCTATTTATGGCCAGGTCTTTTCTGCACTGATTTGCCATGCTGCATTCTAGGAAGGTGGGCAGGGGGCCCCAGCATTGATTATCCCCCATCATGCTGCACTCTGTGGAAAATGAATAGGGTACACTGGCATGGAGGAATATCTGCCCTGGTGCACTCTGGGGAGGTAAGCAGGGGAGCCATGTGCTGAGAATACCTGTCCTTCTGCACTCTGCTGATGTATACAGCTGAAGGGAAACCAATTCCACTTTGTGGCTCTTAGAGTACCTCCTAGAGGAATCCCCTGAATCAGTTTCTTCAAGAGATAGCGCTTGGGGACTCTTTTTTGCGTGCCCATGCTTTATGCTGCGGAAACTTGAAGGATCTGAATGTCAGAGACCTTTTTCTTCTACCTGTCCTTGATCTGCCTCCTCCCCAGAAGGAGAAAGAGTAATTTCATTCTGACAGTGCCCTGGAGAGGGAAGAACTTTGTGGTTACTCTTTTCAGCAACTTTCCTGTCCTGAGAAATAGAAGATTCAG